CCCGCCGGCCGCGAAGCCGACTCCAGCTAAGGCTCCGTCCGGCACCCTTTACTCGCGCGGGCGGCCTTGTCGGCGCAACGCTCTGGAATCGGGCCTTTATTTTTCCTCTCTCTGGAGCTGAGGACGGAGCTCAGCCTTCCCAGGTCCCGCTCAGCGCCCCGGCTGGCGCTGCCTCCCGCAGTCCCTCGGTCTCCTCGCGTCAGGCTCCTCCGCTGCGAGCTCTGCTGCACCGAACGGACGACGGCTGGCGGGATCCGGCACAGCGCCCTCTGACTTTAAGCGCATTTAACATAATGTATGCATCAGAAATAATCAGAAGAATCCAAATTCCATTTTATTTATTCAGATTAGACTTGCAGTAGGAAACAGGCATAGCTCCTCGCCAGTGCCACAGCTGCCGGGGCGCCCGCCGCCTCGCCGAGGCCTTCCTGCCAGGATCACAGTGGACGCGAGTGTAACTGAGCGCCTCCCAAGGAGGGTCAGACCCAGCGTTCTGCATCTCTATTAAAAACACCATGCATAGCCAGTTACTGTAGACTTCGTTTAAAGCTGTGTGAAATTAAGGGCATACTTACTGCTCTGAGCTCTCCCTCCACAGCGCTGGAAACCCAAACACGGAAGCAGCAGCAGCAGCGTTGCGCCAGCGCACGAGAACTCAGAGCGCATCCAAGTCAGCGCCTTTCCACCACCTGGAGAGCTGAAGTTTAAGTCTGATTCACCAGGTTTTTTCATTAATTTAACAGAGGGCTAAAGGAATCAACCATTTTAACTCTATAATATGTATCTTGAGAGCACCTTGCTATTTTCAGTTCTGTTTTGTTCTGACAACTTTTCAAGACATCCTACAGATCTTCCAGTACATCCTAGAATCTCCCAGCTTCCTTATGCTCTTATGCCTTATCCCAGCTGCGTCTGCAGCATCAGCTACAATATTTATGTTCTCTTGCTCTGCTGATTCACTATCATCCCTTGCCTATTTAAAAATTGTTTAACTATATTTGCTTTTGCAAATACCACATTTATCATTTGAACATGCAGTTCTAGCACTTCACCCTTCCAAAACTGATACAGAACAGACATAATTTTCATCTCATTTTGGGGGAACTGGATACTCCCTTGTGGTACACTTTCTTCCTTCCCACTCCTCCCCTTCAAAAGTTCAAAGAAGCCAAACCTGGCTAAATCTGCTAGGAATAACAGCTTGGCGAGGGACCTGAGATCACGCAGGGCAAACAGCTCGGAGCATGCCCGAGTTGAGGCAGGACGTAGTTATGAGCAGAAATGCAAAAAATCGCTAAGCTGCTGTTGTCCGTTTTAAACTAACGGGCAGCTTCTCTTCAACCTTCTCCTCTGCAGATCTTATTTGGTCTCTTGGTTGCTTATTCAGGCTATGCTAATATTGCCAATGCCAACCTAAGCTAATTGGAAAAAGACTCGAGGAAGGAGTCATAACTGGAAATATGTTATAAAGAGAGATAAGGGATTGTCCACAGGTAGGCCAAACACTTGATTGACAGATACCAAATACTGACATATATACTTCTTATATATTTGTGGTAACAAAGAAGGGTCGGTTCAGGAATGATATTTCTTCAGCAATCAAGTTCAGACTGAATTCCCCACCTCTTTTTGGAGCACAGTCTCTGAATCTTACAGAACTTTGCTTAACAGACTAGCACCTATTGAGAAGCTCCTAAGATCTTAATTCAGAGTTTAGAACATATGGTGTATTAATACTTCCTTCTTTAAAAGACAGGCTTTAGGCAGAGGTACTGCATTACAGGCATCATCGTTTTATGCATTATGGTATGATTCTGTATTCCATCTGAAGGATTTTTTTGGAAGTTCTTCTAGAATCTCTCAATAACAAAAAAAGAATATTCAGTTTCTCCGCCCCGACATCCTGAACTTCCCTTGGTTCCCATCTGCAAGGGTCAACAACCCCGGCAATTTCTGCCTGGCATCTTTTAGAGCAGGTTTTGACATTGGAGCAACTCTGGGGACAGCCTTCTAAAAACAAAAATAAAACACCTTCCCTGTCCACTCTCAGCAGTGGATCTAATCAGAGGCTCTCACCTCACTTAACAACGTAGCACGTTTGTGGTCCCTCTGAAAATTAATCTCTCTCTCTAGCTGATCTGCATGACAGGAAAAAGCTTCCTCTCCAGATTTGCCAGTCAGAGTGAAAAATGACTTTGGGAAGTGTTTGTTCATTGTTCCTGTACGTATGAAACCCCCACTGATAGCTTGACAGAAATCTGGCACAATATTTTTTTCTACAGTAAAAATTTTTTTGAAGCATAAAGTTGTTAAACAAGTAACTCACGGTTGTCCAAATACGCAACCAAGTGACCTTCATAATAGCAGCAAGTCAAGCTTAGCAAGAAAACAACTGGTTTCTTTCTTGGTACTTCCTTTGTCCCAGTAGCTTGGTAGGCATAGCTATTTCAAATTTAATTCCTTGAGCCTATACAATACACGTGCAATATATTATACTTTGGTAGTATTCCAAATACAAGTTATCTTTATGCTTTAACTGATCTTTGTTTAGAAGGCTTCAGCCAGTATTTTACCCATATTAAAACTATGGAGCAACTAAATGTGAATTCACCACAAAAGCGTCTTTGTGAACATCCTCTTCGACCAAACAGCAGCGGCTCACCAAAAGACCGTTTCCCCACTGCACGTCTCTTTCCTTGGGGTTCAGCTCCCTTTGCACATCGTTTTATCATTACTTTTTCCAGCGCACGGAATTACAAAAGGCTTCGTCCCAGTTCTCACTACAAGCTCACTCAGTAGCACCTTCAACCTCTGCCCCTGAGATACTAATCACCTCCCACTTTGATCAACTCTCTTAAGAGGTGGGTATCCTCCTGGCTCTCCCCAAGGCCATCATTTCCTTACTCAGCTCCACAAACGATCCTTGTTCTGTTCTTTGCATCGACTTACCCAATTTACTTGGCTCTAAAATTTGTTTAGCACCATCCCTTCAGCTAGACTTAAAGACTAAACCTCATTATCTCAAAACATAATCCAGTTGGGCATCGTACAGATACCTCCTCTGATTGACTCTAGAGCAAGACAAGCAAACCAGGCACCCAGGTGGACGAAGCGCAGCGCAGAGGGCTGGACGTGGGTCCTTCCATTTCCCCGTCCTGCCTTCTCCTGTCCATACAGCATCCTGCCGTCCTTTCTCTTAGTGCGTGTGCGCACGCACGGAGGCGGCTCTCCAGAGCAGCCTACTGCTCGGCACCGAGCGCGTTTGGAATTCAGGTCAGAATCCCTATCTGCAGTGATTTATTTTAGCACATAAACTGGGGACGCTTCCTCCCTACCCCAACCCATCTGTTCTCTATCTCTGCACAAACCACGAGCTCCCAATGCAGGGAGCGTGTTCTCCTTTCTCCACCACCTCAAGTCTTCTTGTGGTTTGCAGAATCGTTTAGTAAACACACATGACAAAACTCCACTGACCTCAGTCCCCCGCTTTCAGACCTCTGGGCAGTTTAACAGTCCCCTCGCTGCTCCCCCTCACACCCAGGCAGAGCACTTCCCATATAATTCACTGCTGACAGATCCCAAGTATTTTCAGCACTGCTGAGAAGCAAGACAGACAAGACCGCACGTGGTAACAGCAAGTACACGCTCCTGATCTTATGGGTACCTGTCGGATTAGCATCAGGGAAAAAGCAGACATCTTAGAGTTTCAGCAGGAACCCCCCCCCACAGCCACCAATATGGTGACGTTAAATTAAAAAAAAAAAAACCCCACCCACACCCCCACACTCTAATCAGCACTGGTTTTAGAATTGAGTCCTGCATATTCTGATCCCTAGATGTCCCTAATGGGATCTCTGAGATACTGAAGAGAAAAATCCTTATTTCAAATCAACCCAGGGGAATAAAAGCTTTTAATTACCCCAAAGCTGTAAGTTACCAAAGTGCTGCTGTAAAGGCAGGCACCGGAGACTCCAGGATCAGGACTGAATGTCAAAATTTTACAGAATCTGGGAGATTTTCTCTGCATCAGCAGCCACCTGCCCTTTTAAAACCAATTGCTTTGTACCTGTTCCTGTTGATCTAAGGTTTCTCCCAATTATTCAGCACACTATAAGCCAGTAGGCAAGAGGAAGAGATATATGAGTTATGCCAGAGGCTTGGCAAGGCAGGGATCCCCTCCCCTGACAACACGGGAGGGTAAGGTAGGAATAACGTCCTCGATTCTGTCCGCGATCAGCCTCAGCTGGAGACGGCTGCTCCATCCTGGGCTGTCAGTCTCCATCACGGGCTGTCAGTCTCCATCACGCTTTGTGTAAAAGGACACTGACACCTCAAGACGCAATATGCATACCTAACAGGAGCAGCTACAGCATCCAAAATCACTTGCCCTTACTACGAGCTCTTATTAGTACGCCCTGGTTCTTTGTGTCAGACACTGCTATCAACAAGTTGTGCTGGCTGATCCAGTCTTCAGGCTTCAGAGGCTCTTTGTGGTCTGCTCATATGGATCGTTTGTTTTGAACCTATCTCCCACTGACAGTTACAATTGCTTTCTCCAGTGCGCCAAGAACCAGCGAGGTGCGATTTCCCCTCTATTCTGCTGCTGCAGGTAGACAGCTCACCTACTAATGAACAAATCCTATGAAACTGGAAATTTGACTTGGGTGAAACAGCCTGAAGACCAAGGATTTTCAAATTGCCAGATATCTTGCGTCTATTAGCCAGAGATGGAAAGCATCAGCTCAGAAAACAAATGCTTTGTCCAGGTTTCCAATCCAAATGTATGCATATATACTCCTTTCTGTTTGTTCTACACCACAGCAAGACTTTTGTGAACCATAGCAATAACAAACTAACATACCTCAAGGCGTCTGGAACTCAGATCCAGATGTGAATTTTGAAGCTTCATCCCATCACGACTGCTACATTTCAGTTACTTGAAATGTAATACACAAACATACAGGCCACATAAACACAAGCCAGAAGAATGCACCATCTCCTGTGACAGCAATGACACTCCACTTACGACTCTGGCAGCCACCAGAAACCTTAAATTTTATGAACTACCAGGTGCAATACAAACATTGCTGAGAAGCACCCTTACTTTACTAGCTTCTCAATGCATTGTCCATTCTAGTGTCCAGTTACTATCTGCAGTCTTTCCTGCCGTATATCACATACCACCTTAACAGACGGTTGCGAGGAGTGTTTTTGTTCACATCATATCTATTACCCAATACTTCCTGAAAAAATTCAAGGTAATATTGTGATCTTTTTATTGCAAAGATTTCAAAACCAAGACTAGTGACACAGTACCATTCTTGAAGAGTGAAGTGGGTCATGCACGCTGCTCTGCCAGTTGGAAGACAGCCTGAACTGGGCCACGCCAGTTGCAGTGAGCCCTCCGCTCCCAGTCCTCATATATCTAAATCAGGAGGCAATCTGAAAAGTCCCGACTCATTTCAACTGTTGCAAGAGAAACGTGGACAAAACCCAAAGCCACAGAGCAATGATGACAAGCCCCTTTTTTATGTCTGATGCTAAATTTATTTTAAAGAGCGTTCCAGTTCCTGATTGGTAGTGCAAGACACAGTTTATGAGTGTGAACAGCTCACCATCAGCGTTACATAGCACTTTATAGACAGAAACCACTCCACTGAACTGCAACCAAATTGCTGAAAAGACAAAACGTGGTATGGGATGGTCTATGGTATCCCTTAGGCCCCAGACAGCTCAGATACAGCAACAGATTTCATGAATTCAGAAGCCAAACTAAAGAAAAATATTCCGAATCTTTTTGTCTCCATTGATTTGCTACTGCACATGAATGCTTACCAAAGCAAATTAAAATTTGAAACACTTCTGGTAGAAGTCTATATTTTCTCATATCCTTATGCTATATACAGATTTTTTTTTTTTTTAATATTGAGGTTTTATACAAACAAAGGTGACAAGATGCTCTGACTGTTCCTCACATGAGTTCATAATTTTATGGCTATATCCTGCGCTCAGTGCTAGAATTAAACAGAAGACTATAATCATACAATAACTATTGATTTTCTTGTAACTTAAGCCACCATGGTGGAATGAGTAGCATATCTCCTGATACCGTATACAGTTTCAGAGAGCTTCCTTATTTGCCTTTGACAGCATAAAGATGAAGCACTGAACAAACAAACTTAGGGGGATTTACCTATTTAGCAGTAATAACGAACGTGGAACGTGCTACCGCATTTGCGGCGGAATACACTAAACCCATCTGAGCAACAGCCCAGACCTACCTACCGACGCACCGTGCTGCCTGAGACTAATCAAACTGACACTCAAAGACTTCCCTGCATGTAAAGAGCGTAACCAATACGCTTACAAATCCTCCTAAATGGATATTTCTTTTCAGTTATTAAAATTTTGTCATTGCCAGCAAAAAATCTAGGAACTGTATGTCATACATCAGTATATATTGTTTCCTGTGCAAGAATGATTCCTCTTGTCAGGCACTCAGAATAAGAGATCATTTGTGCTATCCGTGACTACTCGATACTGACCAATGTTACACAAAGTTTAGGCTGTTCTTGTACAGCAGCTCCAGCTGACCAAACACCAGCACAGATCTTTGAGAGGGACAGTTTCATGCTCATTGAAAAAACAGGAGGTTTGCCTCACTGAATTGGGAAAACAAGGTTTTAACTGCTGAAGCTTATTGAGCACTATCCCACAGGGTATTTTTATTCTCTTCCAATACACACATGACCATTGAAACCCTAAATCTATACTCCATTGCTCATTCTGTCCTTTGACTTAAACATAATCTTGCTATTTCCTATCTTTTTCTAAGGATTATTCACTCAATTTTTTTTTTTGTATTCCAGGACTCTCTTATCTTTCATCTCATCACATTTGGCTTTCAGATCAGCATCTACCCACTTAAGCCAGACTAAATATTTATTTGTGAGCCGTGTGTTTCTTGTGACACTGGGTTTTTCACCTTCATGCACCTAGTTCAAACCCAGGAAAGACCAGCAGTGATCTAAAGATAGTAACATTTAACAGCATCGTCGAGATGTACGTTACTGAGTCGTATGGTCACAGTCGTTCATCCCCTCGCAGAAGTACCCCTCATCTCCCTCAGTGACAGCTAAACCAATGCCCAGACCCAGCTGCCCGGGGAAAGCCTAGCCATCGCTTGCATCCCTGCAGAAGAAGAAACAGATTGGCCATGACAGTGAGGAGGAGACTTCAGTGTCCTCCCCAATCACCTAAAGCTGGCAAGAATTTATTGTATTCCTAAGTTTCAGATGCTCCATGGTTAAGTTTCAGATGCTCCATGGTAATAAAAGCAATTAAGAATTTAAAACTACTTGTTCAGGGACAGGCAAGCAACTTTTCAAAGGTGGAATGACTGTTATCACATTTGTTTGTGCATTCTCATATTGTCGCCTCATAAGATGACTTTGTTCCTTATTGTAAGGGATACCTTACTGAGATGAATAGCATGAATTGGACTTAAAGATGGGGAACACTTTTGACTGATGGCCTTTAGCATCAACCATCAAATTGAGCTCAAATAATTACAGTTTGAAGGAAAAGGCTGGCTGTTACTTGACATGGTTTGTTACATAAAAACGCAACGTATTTCTCATGACATATCTTTATTCACTTTGATGTATTATCGTTCCCTACTCCTCTTGATTGCTTTTCAAAAGCAATCTAAATTAATGCGAATTGGTGAAGGGTAATTATCTCTACGAATAATTAGTGCATGCTAATAAATGCAAATAGGGCAAAATGCTAAATTTTACTATCGCTAATAGGTCTTGCTCATGACACCCTCTCCGGTAAAAGGGCACCTACTGAACACTGACAGAGAAACACAAGAGGACAGCGGTGTCCTTACCGCAGAGTAATGAGTTACCACCATATGGCAAAGAGAGACAGAGGCATAGTCAGGTCCCACTTTTGTCTCAAGCATGATCTTAGGATGGCCAAAGAACGCTTGTCTTACTCTTTGTAAAGTCCCATGAAAATATATATTATTTAAAATGTATGACATTACTAAGAGGAAGAGGATATTACTAAGAAGAGGAAGAAGGTATTACTAAGACGACAATGACGGAAGGACCTACTCATATAGATATATATGACTAACTCTCACTGGCCTAAGCACCTCATAGTATCCTACT